CCAATTTATGCCCGGCAGGTAACCAGGTGGCTAACGGAGAGAGCTGGGTAAGGAGGCAAACCCCTTCAGAGGAGTAGGTGGTAGACTCAGGGCAATTATCTGTGAAGGTCTCACTCTGTAAAGCAGAGTGCAGGGAGGCTGTAGGAAAGTGTCACTTTTTGGCAGGCTGCAGAACCAAGACTAGGAATGGGGATGGGGTAGTTGAGCTGAGGCAGAGTTTTAGCCACTGGAAGCGTGCACAGATGCCCTGAGGCAATCACAGTGCTGTAGCTGGACCAGAAACCAGTGGCTTCAACAACCCTGACATCTTTTGTCTTCTCCTTTCCTCTTCCAGAAGTCAATATACAGACTTTGAAACAGATGCCATTACAGAAGGTCATCCACGTACATTACAGAGCACTGTTGTGGAAATGAGGGCATGGAAAACTGTAAGAAACTCCCTGAAGGAGATTCCATGCCCCGAAGTATTATGGAACAGAATGGGTTGGAAGGGACCTTGAAGATCATCCAGTTCCAACCCTCCCACTTTGTACAGGGACACATCCCACTAGACCAGGTTGCTCAGAGCCCCATCCAACCTTGTCTCACTCCCAGGGATGCAGCATCCACAACTTCTCTGGGCAATGTGTTCCACTGCCTCACCACTCTCAGAGTAAAGAATTTTTTCCTAATATCTAATCTAAACCTACTCTCAGTTTGAAGCTGAAGAGAGATGTGTATTTCTTATTAGGTAGAAATGATGTAACATTTATAACCTTGCAACAAAAATAGTTAATAACAGGATTTATTACTAATCTTAATTATATTCTCAATCTACAGATTTCAACAACTTACAAGGACAGTATTTTACAGCCCCTTCTTTCAGGTCACAGGTTACTTAAAAATACAAGGGCCACAATATCAGATATTTGATGAGTGGTCAGAATAAAAGAACCCTCTTATCTTCCATCACTGATTTCCCAAGGAAAACATGAAAACACCTTTCCTGCACATACTACATAATTTACACTAATCTAATTTCCCCACTTTCTGAAAACACACAGCTCATGTCTTAGACTTTACAGTGTTTTGATGAAAGATTAAACGAAATCGTTTCATGCTTGCCTCCTGCTCTTCCATCATGACCCTTTAACTTTGTTTCTTATCACTGACTGATCGTGGAACAATGCGACCTGACCCCCTTCCTGCCTGCCCACTCCAGAAATGAAAGCTGATAAAAGCAATAGATGAGATAGGATGGGGCAAACACGTGTTGAATCCGTGTTCTATGACTCCAAGATGTTTCTTTGAGCCCTGAAACCAGCAGACTGTAACAGCTAAGGACACCTAAACCAAGAAACACTTGCGACAACTTTGCAGCTGAGCAACAGTGTGGGAAGGAGGACGTACAATATCTTACACTGTTCCTAATATTACAAGCTCCAGTTGTTATTCTTTTCTAAATCCAGGTTTATTGTTTGAGGCCATCACCAAAGAGTTCTTTGTTTTCCCACTATGAAACAGATGGCATAAACGTGCCCTGCAATTTTATTGCTATGCTACAATTTCACCGAGTCAGGCTCAAACCACTGGGTTCACTCAGTCCACAATAAAACTTCCATTCTGCTGTGCTGCCTATGGGGGCACTGAATAAAATGGCAGTTGAAAAAGTTTCAGGTTGCTAAATCAATATTTCATTATTTGTCTCATATAGGTTTATTAGTGATAGAAACAAAGCTCAACAACAGATAAAAGCTTGAAATGGTTACTTGGAAAAATGTAACGAGAACAGACTTGTGCATAACCACTGCATTTTTAATCTTTTCATTTCTTAGTAAAAGTACATCTTTTCCAACATAGTGAGATTAAACAAAATTGCTCGGCTCTGTTCTTTGTAGGGTCAGTCAAACTACCAGCTGAAAGAGTCTTTCTCAAGGTTATACACAAATGAAAGAAAACTTCTATTATAAATTTACTTTGGCACAAGCAAGAATAAAAAAGAAAGCCTAATCTGTGAAGAGGTGTTCTGAAGAGTGTTCAGTTGAAGACAAGCATGACTAAAGGGAAAACAGCTGAAATACAGCAAGATTTAACTCCCTGCAGTCCTTTATCGGTGCTTTTCAACCACAGCAAGAGTCAAACACTCAGCACATTTAATGGTTCAAGGCCAGAGGCAGGTACAGAACTTGCTACTCTAACCTTGGAGGTGTTCTCACACCCAGGGTGGAGCAGAGCTGACACGTGAATACATAAACATTGGTGGAAATCCACTCCCTTGATTGCGTAAGGTGAATACAGCAGGCCAAACTCTATTGTTACTGACAGAGGCTTAAAAGGGAAATGACAAGGAGCATGTTGATGACAGAAATTGTTTTCTTCGACAAGAAAAATAACCGCAAATCTCTTGGCTTTAGGGGACACTTTACCTACTTGCCCTGTAGAGATAACCTTATACACACCACTGAGGGAGCAGAGGGACGACTTATAAACTCCTAAGGAATGAAAACACCTCTCAGGTGAGACAGTCACTGCAAGGTTGTTGGGATAATCTCAGCATTCCTGCGTGCCTCCCTTCCCACTGCCTGGATGCACACCAACCAGCCTCTGATTAATCCTCTCTGGAAGTTGACCCTTTCACACAGATACCACCAGTGCCTGCACTGGCCAATCCAGTTTAGTGGACCAGTATCTCCAGTTGCCCTTGAGGGTGGTTGGTACTGTGTGCTGGTCCAATATTCCCATTTTGATGTCCCTGCTGTGGATTTCCTGGGTACCTTGATACCAACCACAGCAGGAAGGCAGGCCAAGTCAAAACAGAGAAGCATCTGTTAACTTGATCTAAATATAGACAATAAAGATATCAGAGATATGTGTACCTGAAAAAAAGCAACGGGCTTGAAGGACTTTTTAAACAACTACTACAAAAGCAATTACTCCCATTAAATTATTCTTTTTCTCTCTCTCTCTTTTTTTTTTTTTTTTTAAGGAAAAAAACTAGACCATTATTTAATTGTATCACTTTCTTTAGATTTGGCATTAAAAGAGGCCTTTTAACATTTCTGAGTCCCCTTCAAATGATTAGATTTTCAAAGCCCACCCTCTAGCATTCTATTAAAATTTATTAACTCACCTGCCAGCAGTTTAAATAACAAAGTGAAGAAAACAATTTGCATCAGGCACTGGACAGTGACGGCAGGAACATTCCCAAGGCACCATCACATGATTTTTTTATACTCCCTTCAAAGCCTTACATAAAACAGGAATCTTTTAGAATGTGCCCCAGTGAAATTAAAATTAAGGCCGTGCAAGTAAGACAGACAGGGCAGCTCTGTGGACCTGGAAAGATTCATATGCTCACCCAGCCTCCTTTGCAGCACAAACCCCCTTAAGGTGCTGCTGCCTGTAGCACATGGAGAGAAGAGATCTCTCGAGTAGAGAGGTCCATGGCAGCTTAGGGGTGTGTAAAACAGGTTTGCAAAGCTGCTTCAGGCCATGGGGCAACCAGCACAGCCCTGCAGTGTCTCACGTGCAGCTGAGCACTTCTTACACATTAGCCTTGGTCACGTGGAGCCAAAGGCTGGTCCTGCAGCAAAACAGAGCTCTGAACAGTGACAGAGGCATCACTTCATGGCCATCACTTCATGGCCAAATGCTGTTGCAGCCAGGCAGAGTAGAGTGGCTGCTACCGTGGGGTCACAGCAGCCTGTGCTCCATGACCACATCTCCTTCAGTGCTGGACACCCTTCCTTGGGAGTGGGGAAAGACATCATCCCTGCCATCTCTCTCACTCAGCAATGCCTCCATCACGTCTGTGCTGAGTGCTAACCAGCCTCAAATCAACACAGATTGCAGCTGTGGTGGTGACACAGTGTCCTTGCAGCCTGAGGAGGCTCTCTGAGAAAGCAGAAGGAAATGCCATGGGGAGGTGGAGGGGACAGCAGGGCAGCCTCTTGCAGGGTCTCATCTGTGAAACCTCGTGGAAGAGGAGCATTTGTTCACAACCAACTACAGCAATCTCTTTAAAAGAAAGGATTATCAAAACAATGTAGACTATCAGCAAGCCAATAATTTGTCATTGTCACCAGCACAGAGGAGATGCCAAATGAAAGGTCCACAGGCTGCACCTGGCTCTGAAAACCTGTCAGACAGCAAAATTAACTCCACAGGTATCTATCCTTTTGCCAGGCCTGGCACAGAAGAGCTGCTGGGAAAGGGCAGGCCAGAGGGAAGTGAATGCTTTGGTGATGTGTGGTAGCACTACTCAGCTGCCTGGGAAGGCACTTTACACATGTCCCAAAACAGGAGTCTGAAATTGGGGCTTATACTTTTAATTGGAGAAGACTTTTCAACAGTATGGCACAAAATACGGTGCAGGGAGTCCTGGAGAAGTGAGATGGCTTATCATCAAGGTAAGCATATCCATCTGGAAATCTCTGGACAAATGAGCAATGGGAGGGGTGGGGATCTTTTTTCAGTCATGTTGCTAGGAGACATATTTGTAGTCAATCACAGATCCATCAACTGCTGCTACTCAGGAATTTTTTTTTAATAAACTCTTCTATACTGAAAAGTAATTCAGTGAAGCTAAAATTGCTCATGAGACCATGCCAGTTTTGACAAAAACAAGAAACAAACCCCACACTGGCAATGACTTTTCAGGTTCCAGATGGAATTTGTGATCCATAAAGCATAACACTGAGGTTAGCATCAACAGCATACAAAAAATCAAGAGTAGCTCAAACTCACACTCTGTGATATCCCTTAATAGAAGAATACTGGTCTGCTTTCCAAGAATCTATAAGGAGCTAATCAGTAAATTAAGTCTACATTAAGTAGTTTAAATTCGCTATACCCAGAGATCTGCATATACTACAGAAAATTTCAAGGGATTTTAAAGTCTGAAAAAGGGTGAAGACTGCTGGTTTAGTTCAATGTGCAAAGCTGCAGTGGAGGAAACACAAGTTCAAATCCTTGCTCCAGGGCTGTGGGTGAAGGTCAGACCAAGAGCCAGCCTTCCTCACGGGCTGAGGGTCTGCTGACAGCCCCAAGACACCGAGTATTTTGGCACTGGTACCATGATTTTGTGAGGTTTTCAGGAAGCCAGTGCTGTGCTATGCAGAACAGTAAATGCTGAAATCTCAAAGTACTGTGCAGGACAGAAACCCCTCTTCTGAACACATCTACCAATGAGGGAGACAGCAGCATTTTCACAGAGCCAAGCTGCTTATGAGGAAAGGCTGAAAGGTAATGAAGGTTGGTAGCACAATTAGGTAAGAAAAGGGACAATGAGCTACAAATAACATTTCATAGGGCTGAAAAAGAATATTGAAGAGAATATAACATCAGAAATTATTTTCAAACCTATATTTCTTTTAATGAATCTGCATAATAAAATTATCAACTGTTATGCACTTTGCTTTAAGAGCATGTGAAAGATTTTAGGGGGAATAGAACAAGGAGGTATCACTATTCAGCACTGCTATTAAACAAAATGCAAAAATCAGAATTTAAGAGAAAGAGCATCCAAAACACCTAGAAAAAGAAAAATTAAGCCTTTCATGATTACTGGATATATTTGGGACAGCCCAGAGCAGCAGAGTCAGGATTAGGTTTGGGGTCAGCACTTTTTCTTCACGGAAGGGAGGTTTTTTCATTTTAAACTTGATGTTAGTTCAAACCTTGCCCACTCCTCAGCTGCTGTCACATAGAAATTTGCTTAATGCTGCCTCTGTTACAAACAAATGAATATTCAAGTATGCCCAGCCTTTACTATGCTTCTACTAACACTCTTGAAGTTGTAGGTGAGTTGGAAACAATCCAAAGCATGATTTCAAACAGCTGTAGGATGGAAGAAGTACATTTAGAGACACCAACATAATGTTCAGAAACAAGCCCTGAAGACTACATGGGAAAAGGGGATGCTGAGATACTTATATCACTATTGGGAGACACAGTGTGGAATTTTTTGATTTTATTTAAAATGCTAGTGAGGTGGGTACATACAAAAACCCCACTCTGACAAACTCTCATATGTCAGGCTTTCTTTCAGAGAGCCACCATATTTTACCTCCACCCACCTGAAAAGAAAAATCTGTAGTTAGAAGAGAACCATGAACAGAAAAGCAGACAAAACAAAATAAAAGCAACAGATAAAAAAATAACAATCCTAATAGTAAGTGGAAATAAATGACTTGTGCTAAGAGAGTTTAGGGGTGCCAGCTGGGAAGAATGTTTGAGCTGGTCACATCGCCCTTGCTTTCCTTGAACAGTGTAATTTTTCACAGAAAGTCCTGGCAAGAAATGCTGCCTGCAGTGGTTTTAATCTTGGAAACAACCCACGTGTAGTGGCTGCATTGAGACTGGAAGTGAAAAGGCCTCAGGTGGTAATGGACTGTGCCTCACTCTGTGTCACAGACTGACACCTGCATCTGGCCCCAAACGCCTGCCTTCATCCCCCTGGCTGTTTGTCCAGCACTGAAACACTGCCTGGCCCAGGTGGGAGCAGCCCAGCAATGTCAGGGACAGGGAGGGAAAGCAGGCAAGCTTGGGTAGCAGATCCACGTACGTACAGACCTTGCAGTGTGTCACTGTACAAACTTGAGTCCTTGTGCTCAGCATCACTGCCAGCGGCAAGAGCTGGGTAACAAAACAAAGGAAAATCTAAAGAAAAATCAAATCAGGAGCCTCTGACCTATGGGATCAATCCAGGGTCTGTTGTGTGGGAAAACACATTCTACACCCCAGGAAAGGCCAGGGAGACAGTCTGGTACAGAATACTCCTTATCCAGAGATTTCATTGCCGGGAGTATCAAAATGATTTAAGCACTTGTTTCCTCCTTGCTTTAAGCTCCTCAGCTAACCCTGGGAGTGATGCAGGTACATACAGTGATTCCAAGTGGAGAGGGAAACAGCAGGTCACACTGAAAATATTTGTTTGGATTCTTAGGTTTTGTTGTTTTTAAGGGGAAAACAGCACAGCAGTCAGCATGCTTTTATTGCATGATACCCAGAGACAGGACAGGCAAAGAAAACACAGGTCCTAATATCACAACAAACATTATTGCAGAGCTTAATGGTGGGCAAGTGCTGTATAAAATGCTGCATGTGCTAGATATATACATGGTTAAGAGAATATAAGCAATGCCTTTCTTGCACTGACTTGTTACTTAGCATTCAATAACTCACTGCCAAATGAAAAATACAATTACTGAGATCCCCCTGTAGAAGAAAAGCGTAGTTCAACTTTCTGGCAAAGCTCAAAGTTCAATTACCCTGTAGCAAATCAATCAAATCTCTGTGCAGCAAGCAATGAAATAGTACAGATGTCACCTCTGTGCTTTCTGCTTGGTTTTCCTTCTTTTTAAAAATCAGCAAGTAGAACCAGGAGACATTTACAACGCTCACATTATGCAAAGATAAAAAAAAAATCTATCGATGTGATTTAGAGCAGCAGAGAACAGTGCTCAGGGTGTGCAAAACAATAAATAATGAACATTCATCACCAGTAACCTGCACCATGATCTGATTTTTATAGACACCGAGATTCGTGCTACCAGTTTAACATTGTATCTGCCACGCTCCCATAGCTGGGAGCCAGGCACGCAATCGTGCACTGAGCCATGTGCAAACACATCAGCCCCCAGTGATGGATGCACGGCCAGGACACAAACGTGCACGTGCACAGCAAACGCCACTTAACCCAGGGCAGAGCGTCCTGCTTGGATAAGGAGCGTTCCGAGGCGAGCAAGGTGCCACACTATGCATGTGACAGCTTGGAAAGTCACACTCACCCTGCTGCTTCAAAAGACTCTCTTTGCCCCTTTGTTGTGATCGGAGGAAAAACTGCCCTTGTGTCCATGAAACTCTCAGGCACTCACCTCCCTCCAGGCTTCACCATCCTCTCCAAAAGTACCAGGGACACATTATCCTGCCTACCAGAGCGAGAAACGATGGCACTAAGTTTGTGTTGACTGCAATGGAGACCTTCAGTTTCCAGCAGGGGTCCTTATGCAAGGTTGGTTTTGGTTTTGTTCACTGTTATGGCATAGCCAGAGACGATGGCAAAATTTTGCAATCACTTTCAAATGGCTGAAATCAACTTTGAAATTAAGTCCTTTGACTTAAAACACCTTTTTTTTTTTTGCTACAGATGATTTGATTTTTGCTCTTTTAAAAAAATTCCTGACAATGTCACTGGTCATATTTAATGCTGGGAAAACCTCCTAATAATTCCAGGTTAGTCCATAATATTGTCAGTGAATGAAAAAGGGAATATGCTCATGTTTATAAAACAGCCAATGAGATAGTGTGATGAAATCCTCTGACCGGTTCTGATCCCAATTACAGTGCTTGAAAAACCAGACTAATTCTGGAATTAGCCCTCAAATAATTCAAGGAAGTTTCCAATCAACCTTGCTGCCTGTGGAGTAAAAACTGCCAAAGAGTTGTCCTCTCACTCAGCTGTAATCTTTCAGTTTGTTGTAACAGAGAATAATTTCTGCTTTCCCTCAGCCTGTGAATTTATTTTGCTATGCCAGTTTTAAAAGTGGAAACTATACAAATTCACAAATCTGATTAAAATTGAGCCTGAATTTTGAAAAAATATACTTGTCTACCTATAAACAACAGGTATTTTATATAATCCAAACAATTGGTTCATGCAACTAAGTCCATAGAGCAATGGAAATTAAAAGACCACTTAAATACAAAAAGTTAATTCTCATTGTACTTGTGTAGAATTGATATTTTGAAACAATAGAGGCATCTTAAAAAATTTTATTTACCATATCGAAAAACAAATGTTACAAAAAATTTTCTATAAACATAGGCAAAAATGTTTAAATAGGATAATTTAATGTAAACCAAACCCCCTTAAAGGATGCAATACTGTAATCAGAGGTTATTTACATCCAGTGAAGACAGAACAATCTTCACTAATGTTAATGTAATCTATGCAAATCATTAATTTCCATGATTTCTTAAAACAGCAACATATTTAAGCTAGTTTTAGTAGATAAATCATCTCAGTCCTAATACAAGATGAAATTCAATGTTACATTCAGAAGTGGGAAAGGCAGAATCCTGACTATTCATGTCATCAGTCAAGATAGCACTGCATTCAGAGTTGCAAAACCTTAGAGAGGTACAACTATAAATTCATACTTACTGCATGACATGCAGTTACAGGATAGGTAAAACAAACAAACAAGCTGTATAAAACCCCAGTACAAATAAAATTTTATTTTTCAATCAGGTTAGAAAAGCTAGCCACAAGACTAAGCTATTTTCCCACATTTCACAAAACAGAACAAAACTATTTGTAATTTGATATTATTCCAAAATGGAGAAAACTGTTCATATCTCAGAGGAAATGAATTTGCACAACTGTCCCACACAGTTTTGTTAACTATGAAATTTATTCACCAAGACATAAATTTATAGCCCACAATGGCTTTCATGCTAATGTACATGGAAAAGGCAAAGCCCAATAAATTTTTATTCATAGATCACTTTAGGTATTTGGTTCTGACTTTTTTTGGAACAGCAAGCATCAGTTTTGGATTGCACATAAAAGTATCTACAGGATACAGTAAGGGGATAAAGTAACATATTCAATTTAGTAACAAAGCCTTTAAAAGTGCTAGTGGAATATTGTGTAAAAAAAAAAAAGGCAAACAAAAAGAAAAAAAGGATCCAGCTGATCTCTAAACTACTAAACTGGACTGCCCATGTTCAGGGGATAACAATCTAATGTGAAATGGGTGGTCTCCATGCATTTCCTACAGGAAAGTCTTATATTCTAACAAGAAAATTACTGCTAAAATTACTATCTGTGCTGGCAGGCACAGGAGATGCCAATATGGCACAGACACTGAAGTACCAGCTCCTTCTGAGGTGGTTTCTGCACGTTGGGATGAGGCACTTTGTTTTGGTAACATCTGCCCAAAGCAGTTAATTTAGTAACTGTTGCTCAGTATAAAAGGAGCTTTAACTCCTAGAAGTGGCAATTCAGGATTCACAAGAGCTAAAACCATTTCAAAAGAAAAGGTCAGACAGCCCACAAACAAGACCCAGGCAATGTTTACTACAAGTGTCCAAAATGTTGTACTTAATCTGCCCAATATCTATTATATATAATAAACATAAATAAGAGTTACAGTTTTGACAACAGAGTCAGGAGTTTGGCCAGGGGTTCATTTATTAACTCTAATATAACTTGCCTTAACAACTGAAGATCCCCAGCAGACAACTTTGGCAACCTACTCTTTGTCAAAAATGAGAACATTAAATTAATCATAAAATCCTTACTCCACTTGTCAATGTATCAGATCGAATTCTTACCAAAGTGTGCAAATACACGCTCATCTATGACCACACATTTCTTTCCAGTCTCTGTCCATAAAAATCCTCTGGGAAAAGGTGGGCCAAGCCCCCATGAGATGGACATTAGGAGCAATTTCAAATGTATGGCACTGGCATTTCATTTGGGGTGTTTGAAACAAGATGCAGTTTGTGTTTCTGTTTTAAGAAAGCCAACATAACATAATTTAGTCCTTCAGGGCTAAACACCTTTCAGTTGGTGCTGATTGATTAGTAGAACATGGAACAGTACTAAGCTAATGCCACACTACCTTGGTGTGGGAAGAAAGCAAACTGAAACTAATATTGAGAAGTTAAATCAAGCAATGAACTTTCAAATCCAGCTGGGAAAAAAAGGAGTCACCACACTAGAACTTGCACCACCCTAACTATCATCAGCATCTAAACTGAGTGGGTGAAATTTTGTACAAGCCTGTATATAATTTGCATCCATCTCTTCAGCCTCAAAAAGTCACTCCACACTAATGCTTGGGGTTATGCCTGCATGTTTTTAGAATTCCTTGTTGGAATGGACAAGCAATAAATATATTTGTTGTTGTAAAAAGTATCTGTATTCTCTGCAAAGGACTTCCAAAGGCGCACACATGGTACATGTGAGTAGGCAAGAGAGTATCAGAATTTGAGGAAGGGATTCATAGCTGGGGAAACCTTGAGGAAGGTTTTCATAGTTGGGGAAAAAGGAAGTCACACTGAATTGCTTTCCTTTTTCCCTTTTATAAAGGAAATTAATACTTTTGGGTTTATACGCTTATGGATAACATCCTGGTCCCAGTGAAGACTATGGGAGAAAGTTTATGACCAGGATTTTACCCGCTCTTGATATTTCAGTATTTCATTATTTACTCTTGCATGAACTTTCTAGTTCTAAAGTTAACATATGCATACTTCTCACCTCTGGGATACACAAGTAAGACCAGACAGGAAAACAGGAAAGGCAGAACACAGACAAAACCAAATACCATTAAATTCACTAATCAGTGTTTCGAATTTTTAGCTTCTAAACATTTACAGAATTTTGAGCTGTAATAGCAGAAGCTTTAGAACACACCTCTTCTGCTAGAACTCTGAAATTATTGCTATTACACCAGTATTCTCTACATGAGATCCTTGTTTGAACACAAAGGCATCCTGCTCTCAGCCTCCTGGGGGCCCAGGACAGGGTTCAGCATGTAAGAAAAATCCAAGTGAGAAAAAAGAACCCACCAGACAAGGCAATACTGCAAAATCAGTCCCCTTTAGTGTAACTATTAAAATGTTGTGTAAGGATTCTCCCATTGCAGGGAACTATGACAGTCTGCAGTAAGAAAGGGGAGGGGGATCCCACAAATCTTGTGGGGAATGTGGACATGATCAGAATAAAACAAGTGACATCCCTCAAAACAGAGGTACTTTTGAGAAGTATGACAGAGCACCACACTTGTATCTGCACTGCACTCTCAACACAGATTCCTTATCTTTTAAGACCACCTGTAGGGGAAAAAAATCCCAAACCCAATGAACGAGTGAACCAAAAAAAAAGTGAAATCCATTGTAGAAGTCCATTAAATTACAGAAATGCATAATACGCCAAGATAAAGTGCTACAAAATGATTACTGATTTTTTAAAAGTCCATGGCATTCTTCTTGTTTCACTTATCACTGGTGACAATGGGAGTCAGTGCAATGGCACCGGCTGAGCTGGAGTTCACAATGTCTTCGTACTGCGGGGGCGGATCCAAATGCTGCTCAGTTTCGCTTCTTCTCACACTGACCTCACCAGTGGCTTCCTCATAGGAAGGAGGAGGATCACAGTTTGAGAGCCTGGTGGATATCGAGTCCGACCGTGCATCCGTATAGCTCAGACCTCCCGGGGAGAGCCCACTGACTTCATACATTTCCTCCTGTGGGGAATGAACAATGCTGAGGGGCGGCGGGACAGGGCCTCTGCCATCAGCCACAGCACCGTCACCCAGCGCTCCGTGGGCTCCCCTGTGCACGTACACCGACTGTCTACGCATTTTCTTTTTAAACAGGCATCTCCATATGACAAAAATGACAATGAGGATAACGAAAAGGCCAATGATTAATGGAAACGCAAGGTAAAATGAATACCAGGTATGTCCTGTGTTACTTTCTCCCTGAAGTCCGTTTTTGTAGACTTTCCAGAACTCCTTCTAGAAGAGCAAGACACAGTAAGTCAGAAACTATAAGATAGTTAAAAAAAAAAAAAAAAGAGCAATGTAAGCAAGTTGTTTTAAATGAATGAGGAAAATAAAAAAGGCATTTCAAATACTGAGGATTAAAGTAAGAACTGGCATGGATAAGCACACATGATAAACTTTCAATTTTTCTTCTGATGTCATTAGTAATACCAAAGGGATTTGTTTTTTAAAAACAAACTTCTCGCTTCTTTAAAGGTTTCCTTGTCTGCCAATGGTTGCAAACATACAGCACAGACAGGAGTATGCAAAAATAGACACTCAATCCCCCAAACAGAAAAAAAACCACAAACAACCAATGCACCCCTCCCCCAAACAAACTAGCTGAAAATCCCCAAATCTCTGCCTAATCAGCATGCACATCAGCCATTCAGTGGATCAAAATTTTTCAGCACCACTCAAGGTAGAAGTTTGGGCTTTGTTTGTTTGTTTTAAAATTGCAATAATACGCTAATACAATTTGACAGGGAAATACTGGTTCAGAATGACAGACCATTTTGGCAAAGCACAACTGTGCTGTACTGTCATCTCATAATTTAGACTTCCTCCACCCTCTGGCTCATACAGCAATTGCTATCAGCTTATTTTGAGTTGATCCAGATCCTCTGTTTACAGCTAAAAATAGCTCGAGAGCTATGAGAATATCACACAGCTTATTATATCCTAGAAATCTTGACAACACAGCTACAGATAAATGGAACATAAAGTGAAAATATGGACAAGTGAAAACAAAGATGAAGGGGTACACCAGTACTTGAAAGTCATCTTTGCTCTATTAATATGCACAAGTGGAAGCACAAAGATCATGTTGCCAATCCGATTTCCTCTGCAGTGACTGCTATGAAACAAACAAAAGAAAAGCATACCCTGCCTCAAAAAAGTAGCCATAACATAGGATCTCTCCTGCTAAGGAACGCTTCCACTGTGTTTTATAGTCATGTATAATTTAAGAAAAAAAATAATTAATGACACCCTGCAATCCATGCCAGGAACTCTGAACTCTCTAGTTTCCTTTAAAAATGCAGAGACCTGGCCCAGTCATGCTCATGCCAGCATTGCATAAATTTTAAATGACAGCACACATCTCATGCAAGTATTTATGAAATAGTCACCAGGTACAATTGATATTGTCATTACTCAGATATTAGTAGACATATCCAGGTGCAGACTGACTGACTTAGTGCACAGACAAACCAGATCCATCAGTTTTTTTTAGTTCAGGGCTGCTGCCACATGATCAGCACTAAACAGAAAATGCCACCAAGCTGATCCCAGAAGCAGGTTGAGTCCAGAGGCAGTGTGGAGGCTAAACCTGCCCAGTTCAAAGCCAGGACCAGGACACCATGGACAAAACCATGCTCACAATGTTTCTGGGTCAGAATTCACAAAAGTTAAGAGCAATGCCATGTGCATGAAACAAATGACTATCCTGTAAATTTTCTTTACCAAAGATAAATTCAGTTCTTATTGTCTATCTTCAGTTGTCTATATTCTATTGTATATTCAGTTCTTATGCCTATACTTAGTGCAAATTAAAAAAAAAAAGAAAAAAATTGATTCCTACAGCAATCCATTTAGGCATTTTCCCTAAATTCCAAGGCTTGACATCACAAACACGTCATTACAGTGCCCCTCTTTGATGTGAACCCAGGTCCAAGTCACCCAAGCTAAGTCAGGTAGGATTGGCTTCAAACAAAGCAAGAAAGTTTGGGAAGATCGATCCTAAACAGTTCTCTACAAGGGCCTTCCCTGATTCACTGTTCCAAAGTGAATCCCAGACCCACTGTGCTGATTTTAGAAAAACATATTTGGGGAGGGGGGAACTAACATTAAAAAATTTACATCAGATGCACAACTGAGGACTTTTGGGATCTCTGCATGGTAAAACCTGGCAAAATCAAACACCTCACCCTCTCCCGACCAGATTACCAGACAATCAAGAAGATCTGTTACCTATCACTTTTCCATCTGGTTAGAATAGAACTAAATTATTTAATGAAATAAATAATAGATATACTGTTGACTGAGAAAAGCAGAAAAGGATTCATTAGGATTATGGAATGCTACTGTCTGTACTGGAACCAAACCTCCCATTTCACTGTTCTGCTGCCTCAACGGCAGCAAAGAAATAACACTGTACAGAGCTTGTTTTTAAGGCCAAGGTTGCAAAGATTTACTGAAAGACGTCAAATAGACTGTGTAAGGGTATGTCATTTTAAGGACTCTGTGGAGGTGAAAGGTAGTTTTGATGAAAAAGAAGAAATCACACTTCTCCCCTAGCAATCTATTTCGTGTTGCAGACTGCAGAGGAAATGCACCTTTTCCAATAGAAGGGTAGTAAGTAGTGACTGGTATTTTAGTGTTGTTTTCGTGTTACTTCTAGGTCAGATCTATCTGCTGTAGAAAATGTCTCTGTACCTTTTTTAGAAAGCTTAAATGCCAGCTGAAATACCTCCTTGGCACTCTGCAACATGGCAAAGAAGTAAAAAAAGATGTTTTCCCAGATTGGCAGGCACTTAGTTCAGAATAGGCTCTGGGGATGTTTGATTTGATGATGTGACCAGACAGGTGCATAAAGAGCTTAAGGTAAGAGTTGGAACTGCCTTAAGGATGAAAGTAGTTTGGTGACCCCTTTCATTTCTATGCAAGGTAAAGAAAATTCAAGACAGTTTAGACACCCCTCACCCCCCGGTCAAAAATTACAGTACTTTAGATCTAACACTATCTTACAGAGACACAGGAATAAAGTTGTGCACACAGACAGAAAACACTAAGAAATAAATATTATTTTGGTCATTAACAAAACCCCCATCCTCCTTAAATGTTCCTCTTCAGGAGCAAAGTGAAAAACAAGCAACCAAAAAAAACCACAACAAAACAACCCCACTAAACACACCAATCAAAATCTTACTAGTCTACTAGATCCCAGGTTTACAGCTTGCATTTCTGCAAGTCAGATCTCAATGAGAAGCACAAATAGACATTTAGTTCCAGACTGATGCAGTTGACAGGAACTGCAAGAAACTAATCCTTAAGGTTTGAGCTGCACAGCTGCCAAGCAGCTCTCCCTCTGCTCTGTCATCCCACAGCTACACCACACAGTAAATTGATGGTGCAGAAGGAGTACAAGACATCTGGTCAAAGTCAAATCACGCCCTGCAAAACCACAGACAACTCAGATGAATTTGCACAGTGTCAGGATTCGTTCGAACTGCTCTAAGAAAGAACAAGTAGGGGGAAATACTGAAAAGAAATAGAAAGTAGCTGTGAAATTCATAAAGAAAATTAAGAATAGTTTAGAAGTTGAAAAACTCACAGCACAAACACTCCTTCCACAATTGTTGGTCTCTTAAACCAACAACAAAAAGGACTAACTTTCTACTTGACAAAATTACTAATTTGTGATCAAAGAAAAGGACACTTAAGTAATCATTTATCCTCCAGTGCTGTACAACTGGGAATACCAGGTGCGAATGCCTTATAAGGCTGAAAAACTAAGTTAAGAAAGGCCACAGAATCAGATAACCACTGTGGAAAAGACTCGGAAAAAATCTAGCATATATTCCTGCCAAGAGCTATTTTTCTGAATGCACCTTCCTGCTTTGGCAAATCCAGTTGGAAATAATCAAAAGGAATTCTCAAATGCATCCCAAACAAAGACAGTTACAGTAAACTTGCCAGAATTTTGTTTCCCTTTTATTTGTCATACTCAGAACAGAGTCAGCATCAGTCAACTGGATCTGAACACGGAATCAAATAACGGATCCACATGAAAGTCCAAAGACTCACATCCTGCTGAGAATTTCAGCTGAGGACTTTACTAAATTTGGCAGCATCATCACCCTCAAATGATCCTTGATCAATTGTCTGATTTGTTTTAAAGGTGGACTAATATGTCAGTCAGAAGAGTGCTTGGTATTACGTGGGCAGAGGATGCGAACAAAGCACTAATGGGAAGTGAGTGCACCTGCTACACTGTTTTCTTCTGGTCTGCCCCTGATTTCAGGTGGCAGGAAAAGATTCACCTCTTCTCCTCTGAGTATTTATCCAGCATCCATAATTACTCACAGACTGACACTAGAAGTCTTACTCTATCACATCCTTTCAGATCTGGTGCTGACAAGTTTTGAGTTTGCTAAGCTTTTTCGTAGTTTCTTTGTTTGTTTTCTAGGATAAAGCAAGACAGAAAACATTGGAATTTCTTCAATACTTAAAATCTGTGGGAAGATCTATGATTTTCAGATTTTAAAAGCTTCACGCAATACATTTAAAAAAATTAGTTAATGGAAATAAAATTAATGTCATTGCTACAATCACACACAGATACTTTGCACAGCAACATTTGAATAAATCTTTGAGTCTCTCAACAACCTTTGACAACTGACCATGGACGATACACATTGCTGCTGCAGGCAAAGGTACCACCAATAAACAGCTTTACTAGATTAGCCCTAGGGTTCACCTAATCTGGTAACTTCTCTGAGACTGCTGAAAGGAGAGTTCAAACAAAGTAGGCAGTGATTAATTAATGGCCAGTCTTTGCGAACGAAGAACCGGGGAAGGTCTTTCCACCTTCCAGCCTGCGCATTGGATTTTTTAGGTGAGACACAGTGTGCGCGGAACTGAGCCCACCCTTTAATCCTGAGGTTCATCTGCCGGGGCCAAGCACGCTTGGACGGTGGCAGCGAGGTCCTCAGGACGTAGATGGATTGCCTTACAGGGCTAATGAGCTCCATCTGCTCTGTGATACTTTCACAGATCTCACCTATTTGTACTTCAAGAACTATCATTAGCCAAAACTGATGCCTTTTATTTAATGGTTCCAGACTGATTATCTTCCCTTCATCTACATCAATGTTCTCTAAACACATACAAGCAAGCTTTTAGAATCTGAAACATCCCATGGCAAGGCAGTCCACAACTCTGTTAGCTGTGGTGAGGAGAGATACTTCTACTGGCTATGAACCTACACATTCTAGTTTCCCTTGAGGCCCTCTTAGCTCTGCTATCAGCAGAATGGCAAGTGACTGACCTCAGCTCAACCTTCATGCTCCTCACAGACATCATCATACTCCCTGATTTAATTATTTTATGAGCTATTGTTGTCACAAAAGACTTTTGATATCTTTGGTCAACTGTCACTTTTCTCTGGTCCTTTCTCAGCTACTAATTTGCTTTTAAAGAGATAGGGGGATCATGGCACATTCAAGGTGTGGGTGTGCACTGACAGAACTACAGTCTTTATTTTGACCCCTATTCTTATTTTTTTTTTTTCAGATTCTCAGCACTCGGGTTTTTTATTTTGGTTTTGTTTGGCTGCTGAGCATTAAATTCAAGTCTTCAGAGATTCAAATTCAGATCTTGTTCCTGAATTCAGTTCAGAGCCAATTATATATACAACGAATGTTCCCTTTTCCACCCGCATGCATTATATTTGTCAACATCGAATTTCATATTCTATTTTAACAACAAAGTCTTACAAATTCTTCCCTGTTGGCTCTAGCCTAACATAATTGTATTATCTTTATAATTAACTTTACAATTTTAAATAATAATTCTGAACCTGTCAAAATCCCCAAGCCTACACAATATTAAAAGCTGTCACAGAAATACTGAACACTTTGCATGTATACTTGACATACACAATGCTAATTAAAAACTCATGAACCAAAAACAACTTGAGGGAACTGCTTGATGTTACTTCAGTATTACAAATCTGTATGTTGCAGGGAGCCCCTGAGACTGCAGAAAAACAAAGCACCAAGTGGACAAGATAAAAATACAAAGTGAGAGATTACACAGAACGAAGTTACCATGAGATAAATAAGCTACAGACCCTACTTGGATCCCAGCCTATCCATACTATGAAATTGTTGATCCTTTGTTTCTCTGAATGTTTCTCTGGATCATGTTCCTTGTCTACTGCATCCATTTCCTTCCCCTGGGGCACAGAAATTAAGTCTGACTGAGTGGCTGTGTGGATGGATACTGCTGGGGGACAATAGACTAAAGCTGAAGTAAGTAAGGCTGGTCAGGCACGACTGCACATTAGCAGAGCCTGGCCCATTAGCAAGATCCCAACAACTCAATACAGTAGCCAGGAAAAAAGGATACAGTAGTAGAAATGGATAAAAGCTCAGGACCTTACTGGAAGCTCTTTCGCCACTTGTGGCAAGAACAGAAATTTATCTGTTTCTATTTTACTGCTTCCCAAATGCCTCTGCAAGAGAACTGCTATCTACTAAAACATGAAGTGTTCCTAAATGGGACAAAAGAAGGTGAAGTGAGAAGCAACACGTTTAGGTTGTGTTTTCTCTAATGACTTTAACAAAAAGCAAAAGTGATATTATGCTATAATTTTATACAAATTGTCTCATTTTACACACTATTCTTAATTACAAAATGAGCTATATTAGGAATAACCACACCATGACAAGTTTGGGAGATAAAAAAATGTGCATGCACTTTAAAGCCTCAGAAAGAAGCAGCTTTGAAGAGATGGCCCTTGTTCTACTATTTTATTTTCATAAATCAAAAGATTCTCATTCATCTCCCCAGGTATGACCTCCAAGAAAAAGATGCCAAAACTTAAAATGTCCAGTATGCCTTTCACATTGTTATTTTTGGACGTAGAGCTCAGCAGCTGAAGAGTGGAATGCACTACCTATGTAAATTCCGGAAGAAATCCGCAGTGTTCCCTATGCCATTTCAACCACTAAGCCACTGGCCCTGCCAGTACAATTTCCCTGTGCCAAAAGACACAAGGGATAGAAGCTTTTTGTGGAGATAAGCAGAGATAATGATACCTAGTCTCACTTTCTAGCAACTGCTTTTCACTTATCTTCAAATTCAGCCCTAATTTCATCCATATCTATCTTGAATTAAAAAAAAAAAAAAAAAAAAGACTGTATTGCATTAAATAGTTCAGATGCCACCATCAAAAACCTGGCTTTATTTGTTGTGAAGCAATATAAGATACTTTGGGTATGATGTGCAGCTACTGCTTGCAGAGCCATTAGCCCACAAGCTTCTTTAAATCAGAGAAGCCAACAGAGTTAGGCAACAATTTCTGTGTGGGCAGTTTCTGCTTCATTCCCATCAAGTTAATAGATCACTGCCCTTGCATAACACATGGTAGCACTGAAATCACTGCTCCTTCCATGTTTAAATCACTGGTGCTTAACAATATTCTCTGGAGGCTTGCAGATTTTAGCTTGAAGAAGGCCACTTTCCTTATTTTTAGACTATTAATAGTCTGGGCTCTGAACACTTTGGCCAGCTACACCAAAACTGGAACCTGGGATTCAAAGGTGAATTTTAAATGGAAAGCTTTTTGAGCTCCTCGCTTTTTTCATGTGAACATATTCAATAAACAAGTTATTCCAGAAGGATTGAGGTAAGTGAAGACTTGTGCCCTCTGCTTCTGTATACTCCCCATCACTGTTCCAGTTTCACCATTTCTTCCAAGCAGGACAACTACACCTGCTTATGACATCCAGGGAGAACCAGTACATGGCCTACTTGGGTAAAAACTCATCTGCCACTGGGTGTATTATTTCATGTTTCTTTTCTTTACAGCTGCCAATTTGCACAACACATAAGCACAATTACCTCTAAAACTTCTACCCCCTTGAAATGCAGGTTAACTGGGACAGATGTGTGCACTAGAGGCCCAGAAAGTAAACTGTGTCCTGGGCTGCATCCAAAGCAGCAGGGGCAGCAGGGCCAGGGAGGGGATTCTGCCCCTCTGCTCTGCATTGGTGATACCCCATGTGGAGCGTGGCATCCAGCTCTGGGGTTCTCAGCACAAGAAAGACGTGGAGCAGGTCCAGAGGAGGGCAACAAAGATGATCCAAGGGCTGCAGAACCTCTGCTAGCAAGACAGGCTGAGAGAGCTGGGGCTGTTCAGCATGGAGAAGAGAAGACTCTGGGGAGACCCTATAGCCCCTTTCAGTACTTAAAGTGGACTTATAAAAAAGAGAGAAACCAACTTCTTACACAGATTGTGATAGGACAAGGGGAAATGGTTTTACACTAAAAGAGGAGAGATTTATATTAGATGTTAGGAAGAATTTCTTTGCTCAAAGGGTGGTGAGGCACTGGAACAGGTTGCCCAGAGAAGTTGTGTCTGCTTCATCCCTGGAAGTGTTCAAGGATGTTGGACGGAGTTCTGAGCAACCTGGTCCAGTGAGTGGCATCCCTGTCCATGGTAGGGGGTTGGAACTAGACGATCTTTAAGATCGCTTTCCATCCAAGCCTGTCTATAATTCTATGATGGATTTGAGAATTACTGTTGTGCAGTCTACCTGTGTCCATAGTACACCTTATTTGCTTAAAGAAACACTACCAAAATGAACCCAAATTTAATGTAGTGTTGGATAACATACAAACATTCAGCACACCTAAAAATATAGCATCAGTACACCCCACCTATCATTACATACACAACAAAACATACCGTTTTTTCCTCATTTTCAAATGCTTCTCTTGCTTCTTCATAGCTACAGATTTCTTCTCTGCATTCATGTTCTATGTCACCTTGCTTTAATTCTTCCAGAAATGTGTTGGCTCTTGGGTATCTTTTTAACACAGAGTTGGCTTTGTCCTCTGTTAAGAACACTGAATAAGAAGAAGTGAGACAGCAAAGGTCATTTCTAAAATAGACACCCAAAACTTCATGCTAGAACTGTTCAAAGAAAACGTGCTTTTTAGAAACAGCTTTTTCAAAGTTTTCCCTTTTATTTCACATGATAAAAGGCCTCTCCTTAGTTTTGTTCACTGTTGTAAGTAGCGGGGCCTACAATTTCAGTAGTTATTGCTATAATGTCATAGATGCAATAGACCTCGATTCAGCATCATAGTCCTGTGTGCTTCAACAAGACTGAAGCTGGTGTCTAAGAAGTGCTCAGACGAGACAGGCACATGCTCAGCTCGAGCAACTTCTTAAACTAAGATGACACGGAACAAACAAATCCTGCCTGTGAACATCCAAAAAAATATTTGCAACTGCCTGAGGACATCACAGCCAGAATGCTCTGAAGTTTTTGATATAAATATTTATGACTATTACCCAGAGTCACTCACACCAGAACAGCTGCATTTATCAATGTTTTAGTCTAAGTTTTCTGAAGCAACTTTGAAGCAGACTAGCTCCCAGAAATCTCAACCATGAAATGGGTACCCTTTTGGAGGTGTGGGGGGAACTGGCCCCTATTTTCTTTAATCATACACAAAACCTCACCTTATTTGATGAATCAAATAAAATAATCCCAAAAGGCAACCAATGTTCTGACACAGGTATTTTTTATTTGCATTCTTTAGTTTTCTCTTTTCTACTGATGTTCCAGATTTCCCTCAAACTCCCTGCGCCAATGATTTTTACAGTAATATGCAGCAACTGGAAACACTCCAAAATCCATCAGACTGAATTACCTGGGAGGTACATCTGCAGTAAATGTTGCAGAAATTCTCCAGGTGTTTCAGGTCAGGAAGCAGGAACATCATGTCAGTGCTACACTGCTCTTGGGCTCTCACTGTCAGCAAGAGGGGATGATGATTCAATGCACTGCCACACTAATGCACTCATACCACTTTCCTGAACTATGCAATCATTTGTGCATTGCTTCATTTACATTTAGTCTGATGGGTTTTTTTTCCCTTAATCATCTGATTTTTAATGTTACAGAAGGAGGGCAGCAAGTAAACAAAGATGATCACTGCGCTTTTGCTTTAGATAGATGTGGTGGCATCTGTCAGCAATGATTAGCACAATTAGGCTGATCTAATTGAATTTAATTTCGTTTAGTCTCTGTACTGGGTTTATGTGGCAAGGTTCTGGTAGTGGCAAGGCTACAGGGGTGGGTTCTGTGAGAGGCTGTTGGAAAATTCCCCTATGTCTGACAGAGCCAATGCCAGCCGGCTCCAAGATGGACCCGCTGCTGGCCAAGGCTGAGCCCATCAGGGATGGTGGTGGCATCTTGGGGATAACAAACTTCAGAAGGGAAAAAAAAAACCTCTGTGCAATTGCAGCAGCAGAGGAGTGAGAATATGTGAGAGCAACAGCCCTGCAGACACTGATGTTGGGGAAGCAGGAGAGGTAGAAGATGCTCCAGGTGCTGGAGCAGATATTCCCCTGCAGACCACAGTGCAGAGCAGGGTGAGGTAGCTGTGTCCCTGCAGCCCATGGAGGTCCATGGTGGAGCAGAGAGGCACCTGCAGCCTGTGGAGGATCCCACACTAGAGCAGACGGATTCCTAAAGGAGGCTGTGATCCCATAGGAAGCCCCTGTTGGAGCAGGCTCCTGGCAGGACCTATGGACTCTGTGAAGGACCCACACTGGAGCAGACTCTTCCCAAAGGACTGCACCTCATGGGAGGGCCCCATGCTGGAGTGGGGGAAGAGTGCGATGAAGTCTCTCCCCTAAGGAGGAAGGAGCAGCAGAGACAGTGTGTGATGAACTGACCACAGCCCCCAGGCCCCATCCCCCTGTGCTGCTGAGGGGAGGAGGTAGAGAAATGGACAGTAAAGCTGAGACCAGGCAGAAGGGAAGGAGAAAAAGTGTTTTAAGATTAATTTTTCTTTTCTCCCAATTTAAATAATTTCCCCTAGTTGAGCTGTTTTGCCCGTGACAGTAACCAGTGAGTGAACTCTCCCTGTCCTTATCTTAATCCATGAGCTTTTCACTTTATTTTCTCTCCCCTGACCAGGAACAGAGTGACAGCAGGTTTGGTGGGCACTTGGTGCCCAGTCAGGGTCAACCCACCACAACTTGGTCACAAATCATTAGACAGTGATCTTCCTTTTGCAGAGGATTCATTTCCAAAACACCACTCACTCCTGTACTTGCAGTTTGAATGCATGTACCCACATGCACCACACAAATGACACTATCCACGATGGCGCCAGGAGTTCAATGCCAACCCTACAACTGTGCCTCCCACTGATTTGGTTTTCTACAGCACCACAGGTGAGCACATGGGCATCTCCTATAAATTCACTGACTAAATAGCATAAATCTCTTCAAAAAGGGAAGGGAAAAAAGATGGCTTCTTTCCATTTCCCACACAATTCTCCTGACTCCCCCCCTAGGCCTGAAGAACTTGGTTTCTCTCCACATGCCTCAGTGATCACCTAAAGGTGATGAGCTGAAGGACTTGTCCACATGAGGAAGCCAGCACACAGCCATGCCTGGCGAATGCTGGTGCTCCACCTACTTCTCCCAACTCCTTGTGGGAATTCCTGAAGGGAACAAGTGTCAGGCCAGACTCTCGTAAGAGTGCCCATGTGAAGAATCACTGAAGAGTAGATAATGTACTATAAATCACGTTTCCTTTGCTCCAGCAAATAAAACCTAGGGAATTTAATTTCACAGCTGGAATTCATCCCTGAAAAGAGCAATGAGAGAAATGATAGCTTTGTACTGGATGCAGAGCGAAAAGAAATATAGGATAATGCAGGTAGCTCAAAGTACCCTGACTTAAAGATTCTGGTTCTCAGAAACAAGATATAAAATTTTTTTTCTGTATGCACGTTCCAATTTAGAAACAGAATAAAGGTTTTAAAGCTGGTATGTTAAGAAATGTTGCATTTGATACACACCGGTACGAGTTTCTAGGGAATATTTTAGTTTTCTAAAAGGAGCTAAACATACATTTCTGATTCAAATGCATTGACAAACAACAGCAAACATTAAGACAATTTAGTATTCAAGAAGGGTCTATATATGACTATCTAAATGCCCAACATTTTTATTTAGCACTCATATTCAGCAAGTGTCTTCTCTCACAATGTAGTATACAAAATGCATACACCACGGAGACATAAAAAAGCCTACTGAGGAAAATAAACTACATCCCATATTCTGAAGGTGTCTGATAATTAATGATTTCTGGTTAGCCCAGACCAGGAATGGCTTTTGAACCTGCAAAGCTGGAAAAAAAAAAAGTATAATAATTTGTTTGTTTTGATGTGACATTTTTAATGCTCTGCACAGTCCCAGTGACTTCAAATCCTATTGAGAAGTCAATACAAATCTATCAAGGAAACATGAGAACACATGAATCAAAGCAATCTTGATGAAGATACTGATTGAACTACAGGGATTTAATGAGAATCAGTCATTGCCTGATGAACCCTATAAAAAGAGAGAATGAAACCATATTGCAGAACCCATTTGACTTCTTAGTATTCCAGGACCATAATCCTGTAGATATTCAGTTATAGTTGGATAGGAGTGTGTAAAAAAAACTACTTTGCATTTTCAGCTAAGCCACAGGGTGGCCAAAATCACTACAGCTGTTACTATGGAGCTGAGCACAATCAGGGAAGACTTGTATGTGGCAAGAATAAAGTAATGAAGCATGATAAAACCTACTTTCTCACCTTTTTTAAGGAGATTAACTAGCAAATACAAGATAAAAATCAAATTTATGATTTTGGCATTATGTAAAATAGACACAGAAATAAATAATTTAAAGCCTCTTTCACTCCCTAATGTTTGTAGAATATAAATGAAGATACATATCAACTACCAGTCTTAATGCATTTGAATACATTACTACTTCAGACACAGCTGAGCTCTGTGTGTAACTGCAATACTTGTCTTTTACCAGGTTTTTATGCATCAGAAAGCTACAAAAAAAAAAATAATTCCAAATACTTAGTTTCATTTATAATTATTGAAGAGAGCCATACAGTCAGATCCATCTATTACACATTCTCTGTAAAACCTTCATGGTATCCTAATAGAGGATGGATACTCTACCAAGGTGAGATTCAGTCAGAACCAGAGACGGGCAAGGACACAAGAGGATAAAAACACTGCAGCCTGCCAGCTGAAGCTGTCACAGGGAAAGAAAACAGGTTTCAGGTCTTTAGCGAAAGAAGGAACAGGGAGCAGGAGCGTGGGAAAAGTATTCTGGGACACAGAAGTGTGGCCAAAGCAAAGCCTGGGGCATCCTGGCCACCAAAAACAGCTCTATTGAGACCATTATTGAGGCTTACTCTTTTTTTGACTCCTTCCCAATATCCAAGCAGACTAAAACCACCACTAAAAACACTATGCTAAAAATAAGAATTTAACTTTAAATTTGAAGCTGCTGCTATTAAATTTGAGTCTTTCTGTAGTTTATCTTATAAAGCATTTGGTTTAAATAAGGCAGAGGGGTGGAAGATGATTTGTACATTTTTTTATGAAGCTTAAAAAGTGACTTCTGCTCTAAAAATTTGGAGGTACTGGGACAAGATTAAAACCAGTTAAAAGTAAAGTACTCAAGGCTGGAAATTGAGCTCTGTGGTTTTCATTCTGCAGCCAACTTTCAAAGGGCCACAAGTAAGTAATAATCACAATAATCTGTGATTATTATGGTCTTCAAACAATACCTCTGTCAGAACAGTCGTATGATTCCAGTTCAGATCATTGTGGGCAAGATCTGAATTGTACATATCATTCAAACCAGTTCAATGCTAGAGGGCATTTTTTGTGCCAAGTTATTGGGATTTTGAGGAGAGGATAATAAAGAATGCACACTCAGCACTAAGTAACAAACTTACCACTATCCATGATGATTGCTGTCAAGGCAGGGAACTTGCAGTATCAGGTCTGTAATCAAAAGAGGAAACATCCTGTTGAGTTTGTGAATAATGACGAACTTGGAAAAGTTTCTCTTGATTCCCTAGTACTGTTACAAATATATCAGTGCTGGAAACCCTGTGATCAATATTAATCCCCGTTTTGAGATGTACCACTACTGCACGCAAACTAATTTCAGTAATATAGGAATACTATCCAAGAAAGGTTAACTCTTGTGAACTGGTGAATGCTTTAACCTTTTTCAAGGCTTTTCACATTAGGAATATACAAAAATGTTAATATGAAATAAAGAGTGTGTCATTTAAAATGTAATGCAGACTGCTTTTCCTAATTGAACTTGAAAGGTATTACATTCTCCGCAGTAATTACTTATACCTTAGCTAAGACTTAAATTTACTCTGCAGAGATCAAGTCAACACATTATCTTGAGTCCATGGATCAGATTTTTTGAAATCAGAACAAACATGTAAATTCATTCAGAGTCAGCTACTGATTAAAACACGATGCCTGCATAAAGTTCAAGGGCAGAACAAGGCCTGCAATTTGGCAAAGGAACTTGCAATACCTGAGAGGATCCCAACCTGCCCTACAAGAACTTACATGTACTTTGTACCTCATCTTGGAAAGAGAACAGACAAGAGATGCTCTCAGTTAAAGTGCCTGAAGCTCACTGCACCCACTAGGCAGAGAGCCAACAAGAACTTCATTTGAAGGCAGCAATAGTAGTTTGAGGGACTGTTTTCTGCTTCTTGGAGTCTTTATTAGTATGGGAAGAGTTAAAAAAAAAAAAAGCTTTCAGCAAAGTGTAAGAAAGGTACAACTGCCTAACCAAGTTAGGCGCTTTTTTTAATTAATAAGTTACCCACTTCTAAAGGTTAGCACGAGTCTTCAGAGGACAGGTTACACATCAACATATACCACAATGATGTCCTCACTTTCCATAAATCCAAACCCTCATAAGCAAATCTCTCTGTAAAAAGGATTGGCCATGGCTGTTGCAAAAAAAGAGGCAAAGTTAATGTTTCCAGTATGGCCTGTCCAACACCATAATTCATCAGGCAAGAGCAGACTTTGTAAACAGTATTTGTAAGGACTGCTGCAGTGAGGGGAGCTCTGTAAAGACATCCCAGCCTGCTAAACAAAACTGTAGGACTGGGACTACAAGACATGTAGGATGAAGGAGTAAACTGATTTTAAAGCAAGTTTATCAAATCTCTGTAAAGGCAAATAAATGTGGATAAATAGCAAACATTAAAGCACTCTGAAATCTCACCACCATACTGTTCAGCTTGTCATTACTAAGTATTGCAGGCTAACACAAGCAGAGAACTTAATTTTTTTTTCAGAATATATAAGACTGCTTTTAATATACTAAATTTTTCTTCCCAGACTACTCTGTGGTAAGACAAACCACCTTTGCCAATTGCTTCTTGAATAAAATTAAAATTAGCATCCTTTTCTGGGCAGTCACACTGTAACAAACCAAATACCTGTGATGAAGAAATTGCCAAACTTATAAACAGGTCACAAAAGAATTGGCTAGTGGTGTAACTATTCTCTTCACCTGTTACTTCACTATTTTCTTTTGCCACTTATTACCCAGCAGTTTCAGAGGGCTGCTTTTGCAAACATCAAATAAAACACAGAGCAACAGAAGAGGCAGAAGTGGCAGTAATGCCGTGCATTGAACACACCTTGCCAGGCTTTCCCCCTCTCTAATGGGGTCGTTTTTCTGCCATAAACTTCAGTTAGTCTTTAATATTTCATCCCCTTAACAAACAACTTGGGTGTGGATTTCAAAAACATTAAAAAAACGCAGCAGAATATACACATCCACATCTATGAGTCAGAACTAGATGGCTCTGATGGCTCTGCCTACTTGGAACTGTGGTGGAAACAAGGGGAATTTACACACGCCTCTCCCCTGCTACAGGATGTTTTCCACCAGGAGCACAGCAGGACACTGTCTCTGCCTTGGCACCTTGCACTAGGTGCTTGGTATATCATAAGCTCTGGGAATGAACATCAGAAAACTGACATACACAGGCTGGGAAACTGGGGAAAATGTGGAGGAGGAAAACCAAAAAAGGAAAACACAGAAGGAAAACCACATTTTTTAATTTCTTCAAAGGTAGGTATATTATGAGTCGGTGACAAAATAAAGATTTCCTGAAGTGGCTGCAAAACATAAACTACATTTTTTTAACCTCCTTCATTACAGAAGGAAACAGTATGTCCTTCTCCAGGAAATATGAAATACAGCTTTCCAAATCAGTGGCTGTAGTACAGAAACTCCCCTTTATCAACCTACATTAGATTCTTACAGGAGTTACAAGTATTTAGAGCTCCCTGGAACTAATCATGCCCATTTTCCACCAAATGTGTGTCTTTTCCATGTTCCTCTGACTTTCCTCTTTATATCTCCTCAACCTTCATTTCCAAGCTCCCACAAATCATAGCTTCCTCCTATGACATCCAAAAACCTACAGGGCAAGAGGTTGATTAAAGACAGGAGCAGTGGCTGCCCTGCCACTACACAGACATTTCACTCACGGAACAAACTCTCCCATTGCAGAGGAACCGCTTATGCCTTCACCCTCTACTTCACTGTCCCTTCCCCTAAAGGGAAGAAGTTTAATTATATTTTAGTCCTCTTCTCTGACTGGCTTGGTTCAAACTCACTAAATAGTTCAAAGGTTGCTTGGAAGAAGGGATTGAGCACGGACAAGCACAAAAATCTTTTTTATCATCATAAACCAGCTAATAAAGCTGAAAAGGGCTGGCCACACCACAGGAACATCTTGACTTGCTACTGACTCATTTATTCCTCTACCCAGCTCTTTATTTAGTTTTCTGCTTTTAAGTCTTCATAAACCTTACTGAATCCCATGTATACAGAGCAACCTTTTTCACATACATACACAGGAACACACACCCCTCACTCACCTCCCCCCAGGACCTCCAATAGTATCTTAGAAGTAACACCAACGTTTACTGTTTCAGGAATCCCTCTTCTATATATTATTCCCTCCACGAGGTTACATATCTCCTTAAATTTACTTGTGGAAAAAGTGACAACAGGGTGGACAGCATGGGCAGCTCCACAGCCACGCTGAGTGTCGAACTCTGAGTTCAGTGGCAGCTGACTTACCCAAACCAACACGTGATCTTTCCTCACTGCCTGCTTGGCTGTCCGTAGAACGGTTAAAAAACAGGACAAGAAAACAATGAACCGTCCACTCCTAGTAGGAATTATGATGACTCAGTAAGAAAAACAAGTTCCAAAGTGTGTGAGACAGCCAAGGAGACACACCAACAAGGCCTGTGCTATTTACCAGCAGCACCCTGCTCACCCACCAAAGAGCTGCAGCCTCTTACTAGGGGGAAATATTGTGCATGAAAGTCCAAGGACCCAATATTGAAGTAAGAAACCAAGATGTACATTTGTATTTATTGGCTTTTCATTAAAAGATTATCATTATCATTAAAAATTATCAATCTGTCTTCCTGTGTAGTTATTTAATTATCTGACTGCCATTTATTCAAAATGTATTATGTGCCTACCTAAAACTCCAAGTCCCACCACATATATCTTTTACATCCTTGGAAAAAATGTTACAGAAGACTAAAAGTTTACTAATTATCATACGTTTCAGAGGAACTTTCTTCTCAGGAAAAGCCAAGAAGTATAGTTGCATTTATGAAGATAACCATCTTTAGCTGGCAGCACACACCTCTCCTGGGTACATTTCCTGACTAACAGAAACTTGTGTGCAGCACGTACCATTACAGGACAGAGGATCTGACTGAGGGCACCCAAAACTGCCTGCACTGTTCTCACTCACTGTCACGTGCTCTAAGGATACAGAACATCAAGAACAAAGCAAGTCCTTAAGGGAAGGGATTAGGAAGAGAAGGGAAAATAAGGTTAATGTAAAGCAGCAGCATTGTCCCTCACTTACTTTCTCACCTCCTGCATTAACAGGGACTTAAAACACTGCAAGGCCACCGTGTTCCTCTCACAGCTGGGGAGGGATGAGCCTGACAGCATCCAGGTAGAGAGGAGGGAAGTGGCTTTTCTCATTCCGCAACAGGTTTCTTAACACAGCATTCAACTGTTAATTTTGGTTTTGTAATCTGTACAATTAATGAAACCACTGGGACACAATTTATAACCAGATGCCACATACAGCTGTGTAACTTCTTAAAATTATAAATATTTAGGTTTTTCTGGAGCTTTTGATGAAAGTAGGTCCATTCAAGGGACATTGTTAACTAAAACATTAGTAGATGTTCAGTCTAAAAATAAACACCCCTTTTCTAGCCCTCAGCCCCAAATCAGGTGCGATGCAACAACTGAAACACTCCTGTGGGAAGTCTGTTTAGAAGAAATATTAAACGATTATTAATCTGTCTTCCTGTGTAGTTATTTAATTATCTGACTGCCATTTATTCAAAATGTATTATGTGCCTATCTAAAACTCCCAGTCCCACCATGTACATCATTTATATCCTTGGAAAAAATGTTATAGAAGACCAAAAGTTTACTTATTATCGTATGTTTCACAGGAACTTTCTTCCCAGGAAAAGCGTACCAAATAATTTACATGGATTGGAAACTGCTCTATCAGACAAGGATGCAAAAGATTTGTCCCACCTCAGACTACGTGGGGCAAGGATAAGAGTAAACCAGAGAACTGAAAATACCCCCCACCTCTGCTTTGTAGATGCTATCTGATCACAGCATTCTAAAACATCATCATTAATTCTGATTACATAAGGACTCAAACCCAGAGACCAGGTCACTAAGAGAAACCTGTACTTAGCAGAGTGCCATTGCATCTTAAACCCCGTGAAACACACCATTACTCACAGAGCAAGCAGGCTGAGCAAAACACCGCCCTGAAAGCAGAGAGAAGGTGGCTCCTCACAACTGCAGCTGGGCAGGACTTTAGCTGCCAGAGATTGAAGTCTAAGCTTCTGCCTCAACTTCATCACCCCTTCTGCAC